CGCCGCCGCTGCTGCGGCGGCAGGGCCATCGCGCCATTTGGCGTCCTCCGTTGGCGTGTGCCCGTCTTGTCGCCAGTCTCTCCAACCCCTCGCTGACCAATCATGGCCGTCCTCCCAGCCACGCCAGCCGCTGCTGCGGCTATCCCACCATCCTCCCGCGCCATCCCATGTGTATCCGCCTGCATCGCCCATTGCAAGACGATGGCGCAGGCGCGCGTTAGGCCGCGACGGGCCCAGCTGCACCGGTGCTCGCGGGCGATCCCACGGGCGCGGGGTGGTTTGAGCATAGCGGCGGCGGACGACGCGACGTGATTGGACGGCGGAGAACTTGAAAGGAAGGGGGGTTGGAAACGAATGAACGAAGTGGACGAAGAGCGGAAATCGAACCAGAGGGGAGGCGAAAAAAGAGCGGAAAATAATAAGGACATGCAGACGAAGGAGAGTGACGAGGTAGATGGCGGGCCAGAACGGCAACGGAGGATAATGTGGTGGAAATTGTGAAAAGGACGCATGGAAAAACACGACGAGGATCACAGACGCAAAGATGATGAGCGCAGTGGTAGCATGACATATCCGAAATCAAGAAGCAGGATGACGAGGAACGGGATGACGAGCAACTCTGTCGCAGAGAGCCTCCGAACGCACCCCCTCTGTCACAGAGGGCCTCCGAACGCACCCCCTCTGTCACAGAGGGCATCCGAAAAACACCCCCTCTGTCACAGAGGGCCTCAATGATCACTTTAATGCGGCTTCTGGATTAGAGCCCCAAAACGGCCAAAGCCCGGCAAGACGACGGCCCGGAAGGGCCCCAGGAAGGCTCAAGAGGGCTGGATGCCTGTTCAGAAAGGCCCCAAGAGGACCCCCGCGAAGGCCCAGAGAGGCCATGCACGTGCATGTGCGAGGCATCCAGGGGGCTTGCCAGAGGCCTCCAAGTACACTTGCTCGGACGTTCGGATGGGGAATTCGAGTGCTACTGCTTTGGAATTCTGGTGCTCAGGTTTGGGTGTTACGACTCGGGTGTCTGAGTCAGGGTGCTCGGGTTGGGGTGTTCGGGCTTCGGTGGTTGAGTTCGGGTTGGGATGTCAGGTTTAACGTACACGCTACGGTGTTAGGGTTCTGGCGTTCAGGTTGGGATGTTCGGCACCGCGAGAGCCCCAAGATGCCCCCCCAAGAGGGCTCCGGATATCAACATTCCGATTTCGTCTTGTCTGTTTGGTAAACTTCAGCGTGCTCGCTGTTTCCAGGACGAGCGTGGCTCCTCGGGAGGCCCCGAAGCTCTCTTCCCCGCTGGAGGGAGGACGCCCCTCCCCTGCGCCCCGCCCGCTCCTGGGCTCCGTGGCCAGCGCCTCGGCGCGGCGGCGGGGCCGGGCCCGCCGGGCAGGAGGGGGGCGAGGCGTGACAGCGCGAGGGGAGGGACGGAGAGGTCCGCCTCCTCCTCCTCCTCCTCCTCCTCCTCGTCCTCCCTCTCTCTCTCCTCCTCCTCCTCCTCTTCCTCCTCCTCCTCCTCCTCCTCCTTGTCCTCCACCTCCTCCACCTCCTCCTCTTCCTCCTCCTCCTCCTCCTCTTCCTCCTCCTCCTCCTCTCATCGGGAGCCCGCGGGGCCCTCGGCTCAGGGAAGGAAGTGGGAGGGGCCAAGCCTTCTCCGAGGGCCTCAGGGCTTCTCCGGAACCCTGCTGAGGAGGCCCGGCCCCTCTGCCTCCCCCCCCTGGGGCGCGCAGCCGACGTGGGGCCCTCCAGGTCTGCAGCATGCCCAGTCGGAGGGAGACGTCTGGGAGGCCACTTGGCTGCGATGCCGAAGGCACAGGGGCAGGGTGCGACAGTGCGGCCGCGCTCTGCGCCACGAGCGCTGGCCCTGGGAAAACCGCGAGAAGCTTCGGCGCGAGCTCCCCCGAGTCGCCAGAGGTCTGGGTCTCACTGCTCCTTCCTTTCGTGAGTTTCTCCTACGGGCGCGAGGGGGCGGATGCCGACGGGAAGCAGAGGAGGAGAGGGGAAGAGTCAGGGGTCGAACGACACCGCGGGCCCCTTCCACGCCCACCCCCCCTTCCGTGACATGACAATCAGCGATGGCACAACTTGGTGTTTTTGGACTGCAACGCGTTCCCGCCCAGCGCACAGAAGGCGCCCACGAGCGGGGGGGGACTTCAGGAAGTCCTTGCGCGGCGTGGGGCCCTGCAGGGCCCCTTTTGGGCCCCCGCTGGCTTTTAAAGGGGCCCTACAGGGCCTCTTCGGGCCCTTGTCTTCACCCCCCACTTGGACCACCCCTCCCCCCCCCTGCCACCCGCCGCCCGACTCCCGCTGCCGCTTTCACGCGACCCGGCACGCCAAGCACGCGCCGCGCCGAGCACCACTTCCAGGCGCAATCCTGCACGGGGCCCTGGCGAGGGCGACGAGCCGCTCGCTCGCGCGCGGCCCCGCCCCGACGTCCTGCTGGCGAGTGAAGCATGTCCGCCACGCCGGGGCAGGCCGGCCACTTTCGGGCGGAACCTGCGCGGCGCCCAAGCGAGAGCGACATCTTCGCCCGCGCGCGCGTCGACGAAGCAGCTGGCGATACGCGGGCCGCGCCCGAGCGGGAGCTCCACTCCCGAGAACAACGAGCGCGGCGCCGAGGCGAAAGCGACATGTTGCCCTTTTCGCGCGGCATGCGCGCCCCGTCACACTCCGGCCACGCATTCTGCAACAGCAACGACAACACGTCCATGATGATAGGGGAAGCATACCGTATCGTACCTTGTCACACGCGCACAGTGTGCGCCGTGTGCCATTCCCACCACGCATTTTGCAACGCCGACGACACATCGTCCATGTGAAAAAAAAGAAAACGTGGATTCGGAACTGTTCGCCAGATCCAGAGCGGCAGTACCATTGTCCTAAACACCCCGCGCAAACATCACGCATCCCTCGTCCCACTGACTCCCAACTCACTTCATCACCGTCACCACCACAATCACCATCACCATCACCATCATCGTCGTCATCAACATCATCGTAATCATCGTAATCATCATCATCATCATCATCATCATCATCATCATCATCATCAGCATCATCATCATCATCATCATCACCATCGTCATCGTCATCATCATCATCATCATCAGCATCATCATCATCATCATCATCATCATTACCATCTCCATCTTCATCAGCATCACCACCATATCAGCATCATCCTCATCATCAGCATCATCCTCACCATAATCATCATCATAATCCTCCTACTCATCCTCATCCTCATCATCACGATCACCATCACCATCACCATCAACATCATCATCATCAGCAGCAGCAGCGGCAGCATTATGATCATCAGATGCACCACACCAACACCATCATCATCATCATCAGCATTATCATCATCAGCAGCATCATCATCATCGCTATCATCGCTATCAGCATCATGATCACCATCATCATCATCACCAGCATCACCATCCTCACCATCATCGTCATCATTAGCAGCAGCACCAGCATCAGTATTAGCATCAAGATCAGGATCAGCATAATCGTCATCATCAGCAGCATCATCATCATCGTCAGCATCATCAGTATCTGCATCACCACCACTCTCATCAGCATCACCATCGTCGTTATCACGATCATCATCATCGTCACCATCACCAACACCGTCACCATCATCATCATCATCATCATCAGCATCATCGTCATCATCATCACCATCGTGTTTATCATCGGGCTCATCATCATGATCAGCATGATGATGATGATGATGATCATCATCATCATGACTTCCGTCGTCGCCATCACCAACAGCAACAATATCAAGATACCCATACGCAATCGCACACTTGCGCACCCACACACTTAAACACTTGTGGTGAGGAAGTCTTGTTTGCGACTGGATTGCGAGGAAGTCTCAGGCGCGAGCCCCCTCCCCATGCCCCCCCCAACTCAATGTTACTGATTCGAATCGGGCAACGGTGTACCCTGTGACAGTAAAAGGCATTCTCAGATTCGAGTCCCCAGGACCCCACTTCCAGTCCTGACTTCGTGTGTCCAGAAGCAGCTGCAAGCCACACCTGGGGCTCATGCTGCATACCTGGAACCAACTGTGAACAACCGCGGGCCCTTCGTGATCCCAGATCTTCTCCTGGAACTATGTTTGAAAGCCCAAAGCAAGCCAGAGGCCACTTCAGGTTCGTCGTGCTCCCAAAACCTTCCTCCTGGACTCTGGACTAAGTTTGCGCTCTCATCCTGGTATCTTGGCATACAAGAATGTTGGCGTCTGGGCATCACTGGCATCTCTGCCATCAATGGCATCCCTGGACATCCAGGCAGAGGCCCCGCAGGTCTGACACAGTCCAACAGTCCCCATAGGCCCCACAAGTTTCACACGCCTCACAGGTCGCACAGGTCCCAGCCTCACAGGTCTCAAAGGTCCCACAGGTCGCACAGGTCGTACTTGCCCCACACGGCTCACATGTCCCATACGTCCCACAGCTCCCGCCTGCCGCTCTGGCCCCACAACTCCAAAAGGTTGCAAAAATCCCGCAGGTTCCACAAGCCACACAGGTCGTACGGGCCCCAAGTGTTGGCAGGCCCCATATGTCGCGCAGATCCCACTGGCCACACAGGCATACTGGAATCCTGGGATCTTGCCATGCTGGAAACCAGGCAGGCTGTCCTCATGACCGCCTGGCATCCCTGCATCGTGGCATCATCACCGTCGCGAATCGTCGATTGACACGTGCATGTGCACCAAAGAGATAATCTTCCGGAGTCATATTCGAGTGATTTCTGAGGGGCAAGATGGGCACCCCTGGATGTGGGGGGGATCTCGGCCGGATTAGGTGACAGAGTGGGAGCATATGCTAACAAGGAATCAGGCCGAGGGTTTCGTAGAAGCAGGAGGAGGGGCGGACTGGGCGGAAAGGGGATGAGAAGAGGAGGAGCAAGCGTAGCCAAATGGGAGGGGGAGGAGAAGGGAGAGCAGAGAAAAGGGTGATGAGGACGAGAAGGGTCAGGGGGGAAAGGCCAAGGGCCTTCAACAAGATGCTGATGGCGATATCCGCGTCGAGGTACGCGTTCAACGCAACTTGCTGGCCTGCCGACGGGTGGGGTACCGTGAGCACAGCACCGTCACCGCGTCGAGTGTCAACAAGAAGACAGTATGAGATCGAGGAGAAGAAGATAGAATATTGAGAGGAGGGAGGGGGCCATCTTGTCGTCGTCGTCCTCCTCCTCCTCAACCCATCCCACTACTCATCCTCCTCCTCCTCTTCCTCCTGCTCTTCCTCCTGTTCCTCCTCCTCGCCTTGCTCCTCCTCCCCCTCCTCCTCCTCCTCCTCCTCCTCCTCTCCCCCCCTCCTCCTCCTCTCCCCCCTCCTTCTCCCCCCTCCTCCTCCTCTCCTCCTCTCCTCCTCCTCCACATCAGAATCATCATCATCATCATCATCATCATTATCATCAATCATCATCATCATCATCATCATCATCATCATCATCATCATCATCATCATCATCATCATCATCAGCATCAGCATCAGCATCATCATCATCATCATCATCACCATCATCATCCATCTCGACCTATTCCTCCTCCTCCTCCTCCTCCTCCTCCTCATCCATCTCGGCCTACTCCTCCTCCTCCTCCTCCTCCTCCTCCTCCTCCTTCTCCTCCTCCTGCCCCCCCTCCCGCGCGCTCCCGGGCGCGCCGAGTGGCCCTGCAGCAGAGGGAGGAGCACGGAGCACTCCGCGGAGCGGCCGCCAGCTCTTGCGGCGATCGAAGCCAGAAGAGCTGCATCGACACGCGCTCTCCCGAGGTTCTCGCCGACTCTTCGCTTCCGCGCGGGGCCTCCCCCTGGCGGCGCCTTCGGCACTGCCCCTGGCGCGCTCCGCGGGCCAGCGGGTGGGCGGCGACACTCGAGCCCTGCCCCCACCAGCCATCGAGCCTCCTGCATCCATGGGAGGAGGAGGAGGAAGAGGAGGAGGAGGAGGAGGAGGAGGAGGAGGAGGAGGAGGCGGGTGCGGGGGTCGGACTGCGCCACGAGCTCCAGGCGCTCCGAGAGCCCTGCCCCCCCCCCCGCCTGCCCGTCGAGCTGCCCGAAATCGCTGCTCGGCGAGGGCAGGGCGCGGACTCCGCCGCACGAGGGGGGGGGGGGGGGCGGGGCCCGGCGCCGCCCTGCGAGAGCCGCTCGGGCGCGCCGCCGTGCTCGCGGTGCTGCTTCTCCAACAGCCCTGGCCTGCCCTGCTGCGATGTCCACGACGGCCTGAGCGCACGACGGCCTGAGCCCTTGCATCAACATGGCTGCGGATCGTGGTCCTCCCCGTCTTGGGCGGCGTTTGGGGCCTCCTTGGGGGAACGCGCATGGGGCCGTCTTGGAGGCCCGCTGGGCCGCCTTGGGACGGTCTTGGACCGTATAAAAGGGGCCCTCTTCGGACGGAATGGTGCCCGTCTGAGGGGCCTCTTGAGCCCTGCTGGGCCACCAGACGCAAAAGAGGCTTTATAACGCCGACGGAAACTAGTGACTGTTGCCTCTGGGTGTTCTGTCGGGAGTCCCCCTCGTGCACGTTTGAAATATTGCGGGCTGCATTAAAGATGTGAGCTGGCATCTTGGACATACCTTTGGGATGTTTTCAAACTTGTTTGGCGCTTCTTGGGCCCTCTCGTCGCCCCTTCTTCGTCCTTCTGGCTTGCCAACTCGACCGCAGGACGAATCAGGGCTCCCCCGGCCCCCTGGGACCCCAACCCAATTCTGCAGGTGTCATTCAGCTTCCATATGTCAGCTCATCGATACATGTACATTATTACACACATACCTGTATATACACAGCCACGATACATGCGCAGATCTATACTTACAACATAGGTTTATACTCAAACCTAGGCGGTGAAGGCGGCGGCAAGTCCAGGCGGTAGAGCAAGTCTTTAACGGCCCGAAGACAGGACCCAACAGTACAAGCACTGTTTGGGGAAGTCCAGGCTACGCCTGAAATGATAATCATGGGCACGAGCAAGATCAGGAGCAGGAGGACGACGCCGAGGACGAGCGGTAGATGGCGATGGCAGCAGCTGCGAGTGGGCCTGGCCTTTCCGCAGCTCCATCGACACCTTCTTCGCCAATTGCACCACCTGGCTCGCCGCTAAACTCTAGACGCCCAGCGACACTTGATCTGCAACTTCATTCCGTCGTGCTCATATGAAGACGGCGTTCAGGCTTTCTAGGGTGCTTTGGATGTCAATCGCTCTTTGAATGTTTGCTCTGCTGTTGGTGGTGCTCAGCGCGGCCCGAACACATGTGTTCAATATGACATTATCGTGTGCGATGCCATGCCCATCCCTTCTTCCCATCCCATTATGGTCCCTGTCTCCACTTCTCCTCCGCCACATCCGTTCACCTCCCTGCATTGTTCTGCCTGCCCTCCACCCCCAGTCTTTCCACGCAACCTCTGTGTGCAACAACATTCGATCGCGTGCCGTTGGTTGCTGTCTGCGGGCGCAACATGCGCCCTCGAGTCGGCGGCAACGCGTGAGGACGATGTTGCGCTGCTATGTGATGTCAAGATCGTCCCCGCTAACGATCTCACTCGATCGATCCCAGCATCGACCGCACAGGATCGATCACACTCGGTCGATCTCACTATAGATCCTACTATCGATTTCACTGTAGATATCACTATAGATATCGCTTCCGATCTCACTATCTGCCTCATGATCGATCTCACTATCGATTCCTCTATCGATCTCACTACCGACATCTCCCACGATCGATCTCACAACCAATGTCTCAATCGACCTCACTGTCGATCTCACATTTGACCTCAAAACCCATCCCGTTCGAGCAATCTCATTATCGATGTCACTTGCGCCTTCATTATCGATACCAAGACGGGACATCCCTGGCCACCGCCCGCCCACCGCAGACGGAACACCGACCAGACACCAACAGGACACCACAGGACACCACGGAAGGACACCCCGGGCCATCGCGCGCCCACCGGGGGCGGAGCGGTGGTCCACTGCATCAGGATCGCCCAAGCGAAGGCGGGGTCGTTCCTCTCGCGCGCCCACGCAACTTCGCCTCGCCCGCACGCACTACACGAACACAAATCGAAACCGATTTCTGGTGGCAATCGTTGAGAGGCCATTGTGCTTCATGGGGCGGCCAATGGCAGGTCGTTGCATGCTCAGCAGCCGAAGCCGCAACATACGGCGCAGACAACGCTATGCCGTGTCCTGATCGGCCGCAGGGGGCGCACCGTATGGCGCGGTCGATCCAGACCGCATGTTGCCCAGCAAAGCAGTGCGCAACCCGTGGCGCGACCACAGTACCAGGCTGCTTTCTCTTCGGCAACCCAGGGCACCACCCTGCAGAGGCGAGGCCAGCGCGGCAGCACGGAGAACCACGTTCACAGGCGGAGGGCAGCCGCGCAACAGCGCACCCCGCACCCGCGGGGGCGCGACCCAAGGGCCTCGCCAGCCAGCCAGGCCGCGGATGCGGACGTCTTCTTTCGCCCACGAGAGCCCGGCTCCCGCGAGCTTCAGCATCCTCCGCGCCCCTGAGCGCCTGCGGCGACGGCGCCGACGCCCACGGGGCGGGCCGGCTCGGACGCGGCTGGCGGAGGCGTCGGGGCGCACGGGGAGACGGGGGTGGCTGGTTCCCGTGCCGGGGTCTTGGACGCGGTCCCGGAAAAGCTCCGACCCACCGACCCAGAAAGCAGGGGAAAGGAGGAGGAGGAGGAGGAGGAGGAGGAGGAGGAGTAATAGGAAGACGAGGAGGAATGTGAAGAAACTTGTCGGGTTTCGCCGCCGCCTCTTGCGCGAGCTTCTGCTGATACTGTATCAATCAAGGGCCTCCTATCTGAGTGACAGCACAAGTGGGCAAATATGCCAGAAGAAAATTATGCAGAAGGAGGAGGAGAGGGAACCGTCACTGCCCCCTGTTCGTGTCGGACGACATAGGGATTCATGAAGGGCAAATTGGCGAATCAACTTAAGTGGCTGGTTTTCCCGGCGCTTCCTGGCGCTGGTGGCGCCCATACATTGAGGAGAGAACGGCAGCGGGGCTGCAACCAGATGCATGCAGCAGTCCCAAATTTCCCTGCTCCCCAATTTCGTCCAACCCGAGACCCCGAGCATCCGACGTCTTCCCCAAAAGTCTCGACCCTTTGACAAGGTCTGGACTCATATAAGATATTCCGAGCCGCTTTCTGAAGGCCCCGGGTCTCTGCGAGGGCACCCCCGTTTGTCATTTTGTTTCACGACGCGAGGTCAGAACTGGTGGCGCTCACCAGGGGGTGGCGCGAGGGGGTGGGCTTCTGAGAAGGCGGGGGTCTTCTTGTTAAAAGGCAGCAACCTTCTTGTGAGGCCTCAGAGGCTTCCAAGAAAGCCTCTAAGAAGCAGGGCAGGCTTCTGAGAAGCCCCCCCCGCCTTCTAAAGCCCCGCCGCCTCCTCATAAGCCCACCCCCATCTCGCGGGCGCTGGCCCCCCTTCCCCCGCTGACATCAGGCTCCCGACCCCTTCCTTGGAGGCAATTTTCGCCCAGATCCGTACTTTGGGCCAAATGACGAGCCCCAGAGGCCAACATTTAGGACAAACTGACAGATTGAACCAATCATATCGGCGGAGAGCTGGGAGTCTCAGAGATCTGGGTAGTAATATCGTCGGAGATCTGGGACATCGCACGTCGAACAGCTGGATGGAAAAAACGTCGGGGTCTGGGAACGTCACTGCCCCCCTCTGTGCACATCGCCGGACCTCTCACCCCGCAGCGCCTGCGTCTCGGTGCCCACGAAGAAGCCCTGCGCGGTGTCGCGCCGTGCCTCCTCTGCCCAGGCGCCGCCTCTCCAGCGTGGGGGGAGGGTGGACGAGCGCGCCGCTCATCTCGGGCAGCCCTGCACCTCCACCTCCTCCTCATCCTCCTCCTCTTCCCCCTCCTCCTCCTTCTCCTTCTCCTCCCCATCCTCCCCATCCTCCTCCGCCCCTCCTCCTTCTCCTCCTCCTCCTTCTCCTCCTTCTCCTCCTTCTCCTCAGAATCTTCTCCCGCCCCTGCTCTTCCTCCGAGCGCTCCCGCACATCTCCGCCCCCCCGCTATCACCGTATCCTCTTGATGTGTTACTCATCTGCCCCCCCCTCCTCCTCCCCTCCTCCTCCTCTCCCCTCCCATCTCCTCCTCCTCCTCCTCCTGCTCCTCCTGCTCCTCCTGCTCCTCCTGCTCCTTCTCCTCTTCCTCCTCCTCCTCCTCCTCCTCCTGCTCTTCCTCCTCCTCCCTCTCCTGTTCCCTCGTGCGGCCCTCCTCCTGTGCGTCACACGTGCGCCGTATTTTTCTTCTGTTGTTGTTTTGAATCGCACGTGGGCCGTATGGGGACAGAGGCCCTCGGCGGCGGTCGTGGTGGCGGTAGTGTGGCGCTGGTGGCGGTGGCGTCAGCAATGGCGGCGCCCGCGGTGGCGGTGACGCTCCCAGACAAGGAGGATCGAGGCGGATCGAGGCGGATCGAGAGGGATCGAGAGACGACGACGAGGCAGATCGAGGCGGACCGAAAAGCCCGTCCTTTAGAAGGCGTCGAGATGTCCGAGGGTCCAGTCGAGTTGGAGATCCGGGGGGGCGGGGAAGGGGAAATTTACTGGGGGGACACAATCGCGACCGAAGACAACGGGCACCCAAAAGGGCACCAGACTCTTCCGAGGAAAGCAAACTAATCAATGGTCCAAGCAAGCTGATAAGCAAATCGATCATGCCGTGCCATTATGGAAGGTGCGCCAAGCATCGAAGGTAACTAAGCCCCCCCCTGCGAGCATCCCTTGGTTGAGTTCAGACCATACAAGATTGATCTGAGGCTGTGCCAGCATCGGCTACACATGGCGGATTCCAGAAACTGGACAAGCGCGTTCCACTACTCGCAAGCTAACTGCTCACACATGGCCTGGATCTGCCGGGAGAGACTTACGATCCACCACATCCAGGCACGCATGCGTTTTTTGGTTCAGACGTGTGCGAGCAGGCAATTTGCGAGCAGTGGAACGCGCTCTGTGAGAAGCCCTGCACCACAGTGTGTCGCCATCTCTCGGGTGTGCATCCTCTACTCCCGCCGGCTTCCGCTGGCGGAGGCGGCCTCGCTTCGCTTCCGCGGGCTGCCGCCCCCCGTTCCGCCGCCCTCCGCCGGGGACGCGATGGCACCTCTCTCGACCCTTGAAGGCGAGGCCCTCTCGGGAATGCCTCTCATGCTCATCCGAGACTGGGTGGCGCATTGCGGTCGGGAACCTTTGGGTAGCGTGTCGCTCCGCTGGCTTCTCGCCCCCCACGCTTCGGCGCGACACGTTGTCCGTGTTTCCGCCCCCGGGCTACGCGACGTCCCGAGCCTCTCCGAGCCTCCCGCCCCGCGGAGCGGAGCGGCACGCTGCCCGCTCGCACGGCACAGCGTGTCGCCCGGGGCCGCCGCCGCGACACACCTTGAGCAGGGACCGACCGTCCCTGCATTCCTACAGTCCCAACACGACATGTCCTTAGAACCCAAACCTGTTCTAAGAACAAAACAATGTTCTTAGAACATACACCCGGAGTGTGCGTGTGTGTGTGTGTGCGTGTGTGCGTGTGCGTGTGCGTGTGTGTGCGTGTGTGCGTGTGTGCGTGTGTGCGTGTGCGTGTGCGTGTGCGTGTGCGTGTGCGTGTGCGTGTGTGCGTGTGTGCGTGTGTGCGTGTGCGCGTGTGTGCGCGTGTGCGCGTGTGGGCGTGTGCGCGTGTGTGCGTGTGTGCGTGTGCGCGTGTGCGCGTGTGCGCGTGTGCGCGTGTGCCCGTGTGCGCGTGTGCGCGTGTGCGGGTGTGCGCGTGTGCGCGCGTGTGCGCGTGTGCGTGTGTGCGTGTGTGCGTGTGTGCGTGTGTGCGTGTGTGCGTGTGTGCGTGTGTGCGCGTGTGCGCGTGTGCGTGTGCGCGTGTGCGCGTGTGCGCGTGTGCGCGTGTGCGCGTGTGCGCGTGTGCGCGTGTGCGCGTGTGCGTGTGTGCGTGTGTGCGTGTGTGCGTGTGTGCGTGTGTGCGTGTGCGTGTGTGCGTGTGTGCGTGTGTGCGTGTGTGCGTGTGTGCGTGTGTGCGTGTGTGCGTGTGCGCGTGTGCGCGTGTGCGCGTGTGCGTGTGTGCGTGTGTGCGTGTGTGCGTGTGTGCGTGTGTGCGTGTGTGCGTGTGTGCGTGTGTGCGTGTGTTGCGTGTGTTGTGTGTGTATGTGTGTGTACGTGTTTGTGTGTGTGTGTGTGTGTTTTTTTTACACAAAAAACAAAAACAAAAACAGACATGTTCTAATCATATTTCGTGGGAGCCACAAACCGTTCCTCAGAACTGAACTTTGTTTGGTGGTAGGGCGATCGGCGAGCCAGGACGCCTCGCCACTGCTTGCACTCCACGCCCCAGGCCTTCTCTTGCCCTGCGTTGTCGACCGCTCCAGCCACTGTGTCCGTAGTCAACTGGGCCCGAACGTTCTGGCAGCTGCCGGCGTTCACCTGCTGCTGTCCCCTGCATCCAGGTGTCTGTGGGCATATCCTTCACGGCTCTCGAGATCGCCGACTTCGCCCGCGCCCTTCCAGACGGTGCTTTGAATGGCGCGCGTAGCTCCCGACCGCAGCCAGGAGGCCGTCGCCCTGTGACGCCGCGGCGCGGGCAAGAGGCACAGCCCGCCCCGCCCGCGGGCGCGCCGCTCGGAGGGGGGGGGAGAGCTGCGCTGCGGGGCCTCTCCCGCGGGCGGGGCGGGCGGCGCCTCCGCCTGCGCTCCGCGGGAGCTGAGGCCTCCTCCTCCTCCCTTTCCTCCTCCTCCTCCTCCTCCTCCTCCATTTCTCCTCCTCCTCCTCCTCCTCCTCCTCCTCCTCCTCCTCCCTCTCCTCCTCCGCCCTTTCCTCCTCCTCCCTTTCCACCTCCTCCCTTTCCTCCTCCTCCCTCTCCTCCTCCTCCTCCCGACCGCGGTCCGCACCCCCTCCCCGTGCGGCGGGGCCCGTGCGGCCTCTCTGGGCCTCCAGACGCACGACGCCCTGCGTGCCCGCGCCGGCGCCGCGCGCGTCGCCGGGCCCTGCGGCGGCGTCGGCCGCTTCCCAGGAGACCTCGGGGAGGGGGCAAAAGAAGGTCAATGGCACGCTGCGGGGGGGAGCCCATCAGCGCACGCTGCGGGTGAAAGGACGCATGCCACCCCGCAGCTGCGGACAAAAAGGAGGAGGCGGGCGCAGGGTGGGTCGCGGGGGTGTCGCGGGGGGGGGGGGCGCGGGTGAGTCGCGCGCGAGGACGGCGACAACAACAAACAACAATCACTTTAAGACTGTTCGTTCTCAACAAGTCCCTCACAGCCCTCTGGGCGGAGGCGGTTCAGGACGTTTCCTCTTCCACTCCCCTTCTTCCCCTTCGGGGAAGATTTGGCCACTATTACATTTAACACGCACCCACTCCCCCAGACGACCAGAACCCACCGGGACCAATGCGGCCCCCCCACACCCTCCCTGTCAAACAACTGTGAAGCAAAATCTTGGGTCGTGCACGAGGGGGGCCGCGAGCACTTTGTACCGTTTTGGACAAGGACTGCCGGTGTGCCCGCGTGTTGCCTGCTTCGCGCAGGGCCAGCATCCCTGTCAAAAACAATACCAAGTGCAATTCGGAACAAAATCTGGATCATGCGCGCGCCCCAGCGCGATCATTGTGCATTGGTGGTTTTTGACTCAGTCGGCGGGGGTGCTGGCGTATTGCCTGCTATGCGCAGGCCCGCCAAAAGCTATGATGGCCAACCCGGCGCGATCGCGCACTGATTTTTGACCAGGCTGGCGTGCCCCGAACGCGGCGCACCTGGCGCGGCTGAAGCATGCGGCACACATGGCGCACGTGGATCACGTGGCGCATCTGGCGCACCAGGCGTGCCCGGCAGGCTTGGGCCACAAGGTGCCTGGCGCACCTCGCCCCAACGTAGCGCAGCTGGGGCCTGTTTGGGTTTCCAATAGCTGTCCATCCAAAGACTACCGCTGAACACGCTGCGGTTCGCGTGCTACTTGTGTGTTGGGAGGACGGGTAGGAGTGAACGAGACGGCTTGCGGGCGGGAAGGATATCTTGACCCCTCCCCCTACCCTCTCCCCCTGGATCTGGACAGGGGCAGGCCGCGAGGTGTCAGAGGGCCCTTTTTCGCCCAAGATGGCTCCAAGAGGGCTCCCAATGCCCCAAGATGGCCTCACAGATGGCCTAGGAAAGCCGACGATGGCTCAAGATGACTTCTATCATGCCTCCAAGAGAACCCAAGAAGGCCACACGACGATTCCAAGAGCTCCGGGAGCCACCTCGGGACCGGCCAAGAAGCCCAAATCATTCAAAACCAGAAGAACATCAATGAATGTTGCGGTGTCCGAAATGACAATGTGCTTCTTTCCCTATAAAAAAAAAACCCTGGGAAAGGGGTCGAGAGGTCCAGGGGCCAGCCCAAGCATCGAACAACTCGCAGCGCCAGGTATCTGGAAAGCAGGTCGGATGACGCCAAATATGCACTAGCACCGATACCCAATGCCTTTGTTGACGACTAAATCACTATCGTACTGGGCAACTCCTCTTATGCCCCTGTGCTCCGTACGCATGCAAGCGCGGCAATTATGCTGGATCTTGCCAGTGCTACCATGTCCCCGAGCACGATCGATGCGCCCGTGCGCCTGTGAGTCCCACAATCGCCTACAGTGCCTTGCACATGTTGGGACGCGTTAGTATGCTCATCCGCTGTCTGACGAGGCCTCATTCGTGTTTTCTGGGGCCACGAAACGTGTGAGGGATGTGCCGAAATAAGGCTGCAGTGGTGCCATGCGAGCGCAGCCACTGGGGTCCTCGGTGGAGCTCCCTATTCGAGCCACGAAATGCGTGAGGGATGTGCCGAAATGGGGTGAAGGGCAGAGGCAATGATGGGATGGAGGAGCGGGAGGAGGCGGGAAGGATGGAAGGACGCGGGGCGCTGTCTCTTCAAAACGAGGACCCAACACCACAAAATGGTTGGAGAAAAGATGGCATCACCCGAACACGCTGGGCGCCTACAACTGGAGCCTGAAAATCATTGACTCCCCAAAGGAACGGTTGAGAAAAGATTTCGAACACGCCTGCTCTTCGCTGTCCCTAGCAGTTCCCGGCTTACCTGCCAATCCTGGCTGTCCGACTTATCCCAAGTCACTCCCAGGCGCCGCGGGCGCAAATCTTGACGTTGCCAAGCCCCTCCCCCCTTCCCCGGCCACGCCCGATCATCGCCAGAGAAAAACAATTTGCTCCAAGCAGACCCGTGGACCCCGAAATTGGAATCAAAGATGCCAACCACGCAGATACACAGATCCTTGGCAATCTTTTGATGGCTCTGGGATCCGCAAGGGCGCTCCAGAGGCCAGGGGGATCCAATTGGGGCGCCCCATGTATGATTCGTATTGGGAGACGGAGGGTGGATCCTATGTGATCATCCGATGCAGAAATCTGAAGCGGGACTCCTACGTGGGAGTCCGATGGGGAATCTTATGGGGGAGTCCTATGGGGGAGACTTCTGGGGTGATCCTACGGGGGAATCCGAGTCCAATTTGAATCCATGTAGAATCCGATTGGGACCTGAAGGATCTGCAATTCCACGGGGCCCCACAACAACTGGCTACCCAAGGGCATGCTTTGAAAAAACGCATGCGGCGCCCTGGGGTCCCTAGCTTATGTTCCCGAGGGCCACACCGAAAACCCACTGCACAGTTGTGCGAAACAGCGATTCGCATGTCCACCACGGGGGTGGTGGGGGGGCGGGCCCCCCGTGCTTACTACACCTGCTCGAAACAGGCGTCAAAAACAGCCAACACTGCTCCAAAGGGTGGGGTACAGGGCCCGCGCCGATAGGCAAAACAATGAAAACAAAACGATCACCATGCAGCGGCAATTGCAATGACTGCTTGGCACTGGCTGGCGCGTCGCTTCGGCCGCGCCAGCGCGCGCAGGTTCGCGCGCAGAGCGGCCAGCTAGTCTGGCGCGACCGACGCGGCCGCGGTGGCGCTGACCGCTGGGGGCTTCCCAGCGCGTCTCGCAGGCCGCGCTGACGCGCGGGCACTGTAGTGCGAGTTGGTGACTCGAGCGTGCGCGGTACCATGGCGACGTCGACAACTGGTGATAGTAGCGATGCGACAGTACCAGGGCGACTCGACGCGGTACCATGACTATAGTAGCGATGCTGGTGACGACGATGACGATGGCGACGGCAAGGCCAATGATGGCGCTGATGCTGACCACGCCTACGACGATGATGGTGTCTAGGTGTCGGCGCTGAAGGCTCTGGAAGGATTTCGGCATGCGCGCGCGGCTGATGGGCTCGAGTGGCCCGCGCGATATGATTTGACAGGGATCGTGCCCTCGCCAGCACGCGCACAAGGGCGTTCGAATGATGTCGACATGCGCGCGCCAGGGGGCACGTTTGGTCGCATTTTGTGAGCATGCTGGAAGCCGGATGCGTATTTCAGAATTCGCAATAGCGCGAGCGCAGGCTTGTTTTGACAATCCCTGTTGCGAAATCATTGGTATGTTTATATGTGTTTCGCGACACTCGATTTCAAAATCCTTACAACACCTAAGGTTTTTGAACGATTTCGGGGTGCGCGTGCAACGACACGCGCGTGTGCATTTCGTCCCATCTGTTGCAAGGGATTACTGAAACAAGACCTTTGAAGATGGAGAAGTGTGCGCGCATGGTATTACAGTCTTTGACCAGGAGGAGGGGAGTCGACAACGGGACTGCCTGGGATGGTATGGATTCATATTTCGGATGGACGAAAACGCAAAGTCAAAAACGAACGCAATACGAACATGTGACACGTTAGCCCTGGGAGGGGGGGTAGATCAGATTTCCGATCTAGAACAGCAAGTCTATGCGAGGCGGCGACGGGGCGGCGACAACAGCAACGGAGCCGCCAGACCGACATTCAAGCCCAGACGACGGGCGGCGACGAGGCGGCGACGGGGCAGCGACGGCGGCAACATAGCCTCCAGACCGACATTCGGGCCCAAACGACGGGCGGCGACGAGGCGGCGACGGGGCGGCGACAACAGCAACGGAGCCGCCAGACCGACATTCGGGCCCAAACGACGGGCGGCGACGAGGCGGCGACGGGGCGGCGACAACAGCAACGGAGCCCCAGACCGACATTCGGCCCAGACGACGGGCGGCGACGAGGCGGCGACGGGGCAGCGACGGCGGCAACATAGCCTCCAGACCGACATTCGGGCCCAAACGACGGGCGGCGACGAGGCGGCGACGGGGCGGCGACAACAGCAACGGAGCCGCCAGACCGACATTCAGGCCCAGACGACGGGCGGCGACGAGACGGCGACGGGGCGGCGACGGCGGCAATATAGCACCCAGACCGACAGTCAGGCCCATTTCCTCACTCCACCAATACGAACCCCCAAGTGCAAACACTGTTTGCGGAACTAGACCTCAACAACAACAAACAAACAACCAGAACCTGCACCACATCATCCCACTCCAGCCACGCACGCAGGGACAAGGAAGGACCGTTCGGCCCTTCACTCTGGCCAGGCCTTCGGACAACATGACGGACTAGCATGCTGACGGGCACCCGACGTGCACGTGGCATCAAGCCCCGAGCGACGGAGGCCAACGGGCCTTACCAGAGAGGACCTCGCGGCTCGACGCCGCGACCTGCGCGGACCGCCAGCGTGCCGCACTGGCGGAGGAAGAGGGCGCCCGGTGCAGGTTCATAGGTCCGCGCCGCGACGCTCTCGGCGAGGGTCGGTCTCTGACACCTCGTGGATCCTTCAACCCTGAACGATCGGCGACTCTCACGATCGCCTGATCTTTTCCACAGTGGGCGATTCTGGGCCACTGGGGGCGTCGAACCTCGACCGCCCGCGCCTGGGTCGCCGCTCGCCGCCGAGGCGGCACGACACGGGCCTGTCGTGCGCTGCCTCACGCGGGGCAAGCTGACGCACGAACGTCGGCGCAAGTCGGCCCGATGTCCCTCCCGCCGCTTCTTGCCAGGACGACGTGCCCGGCGCCCGGACGGGCACGACGGAGTGCCACGCCGACGGGCCTCGGCCACCAGCTGGCCATGCACACTCTGTCTCAAAAAGCCTCCCGCCGCGTGCCAGGACGACATGCCCGGCGCCCGGACGGGCACGAAGGAGTACCGCGCTGGCGGGCCTCGGACACCAGCTTGCCATGTACACACTTTTTCGTCAGGCAAAGTCATGCGGTACAGGTGTAAGTGTTTCGTCTGGCAGCACTGCACGGTTAATACATCCTCTGGTCTGTCCCCGCCGGACTACAAACGCAAGTGTACACAAAGTGTAGACAACTGCTAAGATACATCATGTGGACATGCGCTGTCCAAGGGAAAACTGATAGTGCCTCAAAAAGCCTCCCAAATGGGGCCAGGATAGGCGGGGACGGAGGGTCGCGCCGCACCGCCAGTGCGTCGGCGATGCATCGGCGGCGTCGGCGTGAAGAGGATTGGGCTCCACATCGAGCCGCACCGCCGACGCATCGGCACTGCGGCGCAATCCTCCGACCCCACCTGCTGGGACGCCACCTGGGAGGTCTGCGATCGGGCACCTTGACTCAGCGCGTCGCCACGGCGGCCCCAGCGACACGCATGCCTGGCGAGTGGATGGCGTGCCGCTCCGCTCCGCGGGGCGGGAAGCTCGGACAAGCTCGGCACGTGGACGCCTGGGGACCGCGAAATGGACGACGGCGTGTCGCACCGAGGCGCGGTGGGGGCCAGAACCGGCTGCGCGGGACGCCATCCGAGAGTGCCTGGCCGTGGAGCCGTGCGCGCGGCCTTGCGCAGGAAGGGAAGCGTGCGCGCGAATGTCGGCGCGGAGTCGGCCCCGTCCCGTCCCGGCGACGAGGGTCACGACGACGACGACGACGACGACGACGACGGCGGCGGCGACGACGACGACGCCGCCGCTCGCCTGGAACTCGGCCGCCGCGCTCCCCGCGCAGAGGGCCCGGAGCGAGTGGCGCGTGGCGGCGGCCCCCACCGGGCGGAGCTCCACGACGAGGCCCTGCGAGAGGCACTCGGAGACCAGCCCGGCGAACTTGACGGCCTGCCGGGGGACACAACCCTGGGATCGGTCGCGGCACCGCCCAGCGAACTCCAGAACGCCCCCCCAGAAACCCCGCACCAGAACCCACATCCTCTTCCAAGATGCCTCGACCTCGCTGTCCCTCTCCCCCTCCTCCTCCTCCTCCTCCTCCTCCTCCTCCTCTCCTCCTCCTCTTCCTCCTCCCCCTCTCCTCCTCCTCTTCCTCCTCCTCATCCGTTCTCCTTCTCCTCATAAGTAACTCCCCCCCTGTCTCACCCCGAGGCCCGTCGGAAGGGCGGGCCGTGCGTTGCGCCAGAGACTTCTGTATCACGTATGACCCTGAAGCTCAAAAGTTGGCAGCAATTTCACAAATCTAGGGCGGTCCGCTTCTAATGTGGCTCTCGCCTTAGCACCGCGCACATTCGTATCAACAAAAACATCAAAGCCTTTCTCGGATTGAGGGCGGCCCGTTTTCACAATGTGGCTCTCGCCGCAACGCCACCCACATTCGGCTTAGAACCTCTGCAAGAGCTTCACGGATGGAAGACGGCCCGGTTTGAAACTGTGGCTCTCGCCGTAGCGCCGCGCACATTTGTCCAAACAACTTGCCAGAGCTTCACGGATGGAGGGCATTTTTTCAAAAGGTGGCTCTCGGCCTATCGCCGCGCGAATTCGTTTTGAGCAAATGCACATGTTTTAATGATTCCCATGGTTTACGCACCCAACTTGGCGTTTTGGAAGAGTGTCGGATTGTCAGGGCGCAGCAGTTACGTTGATTCATGGTGTTGAAGTCCCAGAAATGTTGCCCTGGTACGATGCAGGGTCGTCGAGACTCGACAGTAAGGTTGATTCGTGGCGTTGGAGTCCCAAGAATAGTGCTCTGTTTGGTACGGCAGGATTTTCAAACGGTTATCTTCCAACGGGGAGTTTCCCTCAGTGGAAATGAATCCTTGTAGGGGCCTATGAAGAGGGAGCTTGGAGAGAGGGTTAATTACAACATCACTGATGAGTCTTGGGTTTGCACTGGACCCACTCCTTCTCCTCGCTCTTGTCGTCGACATTCTCGTGCTGCTCCTGACCTTGTTGGGGATCGTCGGAATGGCGTAAGCCTCTTGAAGCAGTCTCGGCGGCGAGCTCAGGGGGAAAGTGAAAAGGGACGGGCCTTTTTAGAAGGCTCGGAAGGTCTCGGGCCTTCTGGTGAATTTATGGGCCTCCCCTCGAAGACAAAGACGGCTTCTCAAAGGCTGGAGGCCTTCTGAGACTCTGAGAGGCCCCGCCGCCTTCTGAGAATGCCTGCCCCTTCTGATT